GACTTTAAGATCACACCTACACATCACATCAATAAAACTGATGAACTGGATTTCAAGAATAAAACAACTGGTGGGTGTTCAGGGTTCAAGGAAGCAGCCGATGTTTATGGATTAGTTAAAATGTCGTTCCCTGGTTCTTGCTTGAGGGTCTGTTTTCTTTTCCTTTTGCTTTTTCCATCTTCTGTTTCTGCTTTATGTAGAACATCTGCTTACCATGATCCTTCCTCGGGGCTCCCTTCATTCTGCATCTCAGTCTAGTTTCCATGGCTCGGTCCTTAATCCTTAGTACAAATGAGAGAGAGAGGCAGGCAGAGGACTCTGTGATGGGCCCTGCTCGTAGAGTCAGGCTATGTGGTTACTGGCCACCCCAGATTGACTGCCCCTAGGTTGGTGTCTGCTCTAGACCATCAGCTGTGGCTGGCGGGGGTGTGTGTGTGGGGGGGCAGGATCTTGACCTGAGCTGAAATCAAGAGTCAGACACTTCAACCGACTGAGCTACCCAGGCATCCCTGTTGGGAATTTTTTGATTACTGATTCAATTTCATTGCTGATAATTGGTCTGTTCAACTTTTCTATTTCTTCCAGATTCAGTTTTGGGAGATTATATGTTTCTAGGAATTTGTCTATTCTAGCTTGTCGAATTTGTTGGCATATAATTTCTTACAATATTCTCTTACAATCCTTTGTATTTCTGGGGTGTTGATTATTTCTCCTCTTTCATTTTTGATTTTATTTGCCCCCCCCCCAAGAGTTTTGTTGATCTTTTCAAAGAACCAGCTTCTGGTTTCATGGATCTGTTCTGGGTTTTTTTTGGTTTCTATTTTATTTCTGCTCTAATTTTTATTATTTCTTTTCTTCTACTGGTTTTGGGTTTTGTTCGTTCTTTTTCTAGCTCCCTTAGGTGTAAGGTTAGATTGTTTGAGATTTATCTTCTTAAGGTAGGCTTGTATTGCTATAAACTTCCCTCTTAGAAGAGATTTTGCTGTATCCCAAATATTTTGGATCATTGTGTTTTCATTTTCATTTGTCTCCATGTATTTTTTGATTTCCTCTTTGATTTCTTGATCCATTCATTGTTTAGTAGCATATTACTTAATCTCTGTGTATTTGTGTCCTTTCTGGATTTTTTTCTTGTGGTTGATCTCAGTTTCATAGCGTTGTGGTCAGAAAAGATGCATGGTATGACTTCCATCTTTTTGAATTTGTTGAGCCTTGTTTTGTGGCCTAATATGTGATCTATTCTGGAGTATCTTCCATGTGAACTTGAGAAGAATGTGTATTCTGCTGTTTTAGGCTGGAATGTTCTGTATATATCTCTTAAATCCATTTGGTCCAATGTGTCATTCAAAGCTATTGTTTCCTAGTCAATTTTGTTTGGATGATCTGTCCCTAGATGTAAGTGGGGTGTTAAAGTCCTCTGCTATTACTGTATTACTATTGATTACTTCCTTTATGTTTGTTACTAACTGCCTTATGTGTCTAGGTGCTCCCATGTTTGGTGCATAAATATTTACAATTGTTACATCTTCTTGTTAAATTGTTCTCTTTATGGTTATATAATGTCATTCTTTGTTTCTTGTTAGTCTGTTTTTTGCCTATTTTTTCCGTTTTAAGTATTGCTACCCTGGTTTTCTTTTCACTTCCATTTGCATGATAAATGCTTCTCCATCCCTTTACTTGGAATCTGCATGTATCTTTACGTCTGAAATGAGTCTCTTGTAGGCAGCATATAGATGGGTCTTATTTTTTTATTTGTCACACTATGTCTTTTGTTTAGAGCATGAGTCCATTTACATTCAAAATAATTATTGATAGGTATGCATTTATTGCCATTTTGTTACTTGTTTTATGGTTGTTTTGTAGTTCTTTGTTCCTTTCTTCCCTTGCTCTCTTCTCTCATGATTAGCTGGCTTTCTTTAATGATATACTTGGATTCCTTTCTCTTTATTTTTTGCATAGCTATTACTTTTTTGTGTGTGTGTGGTTATTACTAGGTTTGTATAGAACATCTTCTGCATAGAGTAGTCTATATTAAGTTGATGGTTGTTTAAGTTTGAACCCATTTTTTACTCCTCCCCCCCATATTTTAGGTATATGGTGTCATAATTTACATCCTTCTGTGAGTCCCTTGACTGATTTTTTTATAGTTATACTTATTTTTACTGCTTTTGTACTTCCTACTTTCTTACTCTTACTTACGGTCTTTCCTTTCCACTCAAGGAGTCTTCTTTAACATTTCTTGTAGGGCTAGTTAGTGGTCATGAATTCTTTTATCTTTTGTTTGTTTGGGAAACCTACTCTGCCATCTTCCCAGCAATCTCTACTACATGGTTATTTGTGCAACCATTTGTTTGTTTGTTTGTTTTTTAAAGATTTTATTTATTTATTTGAGAGAGAGAGAATGAGAGACAGAGAGCACGAGAGGAAAGAGGGTCAGAAGGAGAAGCAGACCCCCCACCAACCAGGGAGCCCGATGTGGGACTCGATCCCGGGACTCCAGGATCATGACCTGAGCTGAAGGCAGTTGCTTAACGAACTGAGCCACCCAGGCGCCCCTGTGCAACCACTTTATAACCTGTAAAGTGTTTTATATGGTGTCATACTTTATATCCTTTTATTTTGTGAATCCCTTGACTGATTTTTTTTTTTTTAAGATTTTATTTATTTATTTGACAGAGACACAGCGAAAGAGGGAACACAAGCAGAGGGAGTGGGAGAGGGAGAAACAGGCTTCCCACAGAGCAGGGAGCCCGATGCGGGGCTCGATCCCAGGACCCTGGGATCATGACCTGAGCCGAAGGCAGATGCTTAACGACTGAGCCACCCAGGCGCTCCCCCTTGACTGATTTTTATAGATACTTAATTTTTACACCTTTGTGCTTCCTATTTTCCTTACTCCTGCTTGGGGTCTTTCCTTTCCACTCAAAGAACCCCCTTTAACATTTCTTGTAAGGCTGGTTTAGGGGTGATGGATTCCTTTACCTTCTGTTTGGGAAACTCTCTCACCTGTTCTGAATGACGGCCTTGCTGGATAGGGTATCCAGCTCTAGCAGATCCACCCCCTCTAGCCAGGCCTGCCTTAGTCCTGGTGGTGGCAAGTCCCCTTTCACAGGGGATCCTGCTAACACTGTGCATCCTGCCCACACGCGCACTGTGGATCTGCACCCCCCAATACACTGTTGGCTGGAGACCATCCAAAGCGGTGCCACGAGCCTGGCAGTGTGCAGGCAGCCCCAACAGGGGCCAGCACCACTCCAAAGTGACTATTGTCTTGGGAAGAGGGAAAGATAACCACACATACCAGTCAGATGGCAGCCCCAGCAGTGGGCTGGGGGCAGACAGCTGGTCTGATTGCAGGCCCTGCCACCAAGAAAAGCTTCTCAGAGGACAACACAGAGAAAGCACCCTGCAGTTGGATGCTAGTGCATCTCTGGCAAACGCCTGGTCTCACTCAACTCAAGCCAAAGGCAGCCCCAGATTGGCCCACTAACACCAGAGGGTCTAAACGCTGCCCACAACAGGCCAAGAGAGCCACAGTAGACGACTGGATGAAGGAAAAAGTGGCTCAGTCACAACCACTGGGCGCATCCAACACATGTAGAAGACAGTCCTGAAGCACCAGTTTCCGGAGAACAGGGGACATTGTACTGCAGGGCACTATAGGACCCCTTCATAAGGCTACCGCTTTCAAGAGCAGGAGATGTAGCTTGCTTTCCCTTTTTCTGTTTTAACATTTTTTTTTTCTAATGATTTTATCTATTTATTTGACATAGAGGTGTGAGTGAGCACAAGCAGGGGGAGCGGCAGACTTCCCGCTGAGCAGGGAGCCCGATCTGGGTCTCTAGCCCAGGACCACAGGATCATGACCTGAGCTGAAGGCAGTCGCTTAACCAACTGAGCCACCCAGGCGCCCCTATGGCTGACTTTCCTAACACATAGAAACAGACACAAAGAATTAGACAAAATGAGGAGACAGAGAAATATGCCCCAAATGAAAGAATAGGATGAAATCACAGCAAGAGACCTAGGTGAAATGGAGAGAAGTTATATGCCCAACAGAGAATTTAAAGTATAATGGTCATAAAGATACTCACTGGACTTGAGAAAAGAGTGGAAGGCATCAGTGAGACCCTTAACAATGACCCCAAGACTGGCAGAACAAATTCCACAGCTAAATGAAGAGAAGAGGCCATATGGAAGAGGGTAAGAAAGGGTGGGGATGTGGCGGGGAGCTAAATGGACCTGCAGGGCTGTCCCCTGGGGGGGAGGGCCTGGGGCACAGAGAGGGGAGGGAAATAGTCACACTGGGGAGCTTGCACGGGGAAGATGAATCCCTGTAACCTTTGGCTTTGAAAACCAGAGGGGCCAAATTTCATGAGCTCTTACAGCCAGTGGGATTAAACCTTGGAATTTTAAAAATTAGCGGGCTCCACTCTGAGAGGAAAATGAATCCCTGCCCTTAAAGAGACAGCACAACAAACAGCCCATGGAAATATAGCACAAGAGCAGCAGTTTGAAAAATGCCTGGGGCTTACAGGTGGGAGGGTGATTTACTCATCTCAGAGCTTAACTGGAGGGACAGTGACCACTGGGAGAGCCCTCCAGGAACAAAGGAGCGGGCCTAGGCCATTTCCCTCCCCTGCCCCCAGCACAGACACATGAGTACCTGTGGGAACCAGTGGGGTGCTCACAAGCCCCCCACCCCTGTTTTATCCTGGGATGAAGCCTGACACTCCAGAGTTATTTCTGTGCATACACAGTTTAGGTCCCTGGCAGACTGGTTTTTCCTGAATTGCATCTTGGCATTACGTCATCGGGGTCGTCCTGAGGACTGCTAGAAAGATACTGTATTAGCTATGAGATGCTGTGACGGTCAGGCTCCCTCCGTCACTTAATTTCTTCTTAGGAGCCTGAGAAATTTCTCTTAGATCTAAGTATCTGCACTCTTAAGTAACTGTTTTCAGCTTATGGACTCTTTAAATTGAGTAATGATTACTTACCTCTTGACGTTGGCAACTAGGAAGCTCGGTGGTAATTTTCCCCCTTCATCCTAGTAAAGTCTAGAAGACCTCAGGGCACGTGTGAGGCTACTGACCTTACTTCTGCCTTCATCTTTCCCTTCATTTCCCCTTGCTCTGATTTCCTCACTCAGATATGTAGTATACGCTTTTAAAAAAGGAACTGCTTTACGTATTTTTGGACTGAGGCAGGTATGGATGCAGAATGCTCTTCTTTTAGAGTTCCATTAGAGTAACTGAGGGATAGTGATGTGATATTAGGAGTAAAAAGTCACTGTTGACTTGTGCTTCACCCGTGGTTCATGCTCAAGCTTTTGAAAACCATTAAATCAGAGGAGAAAATAAAAACACTCTCCCCTTCCCCCTTTCTTTAGCTTACAAAATTCTTTCGGGTCTTTCTGAGGTAGTATTACAGCTTTCCTGGATAGATGTTTTAAATTTAAAGAGTGTCTACGTTTGGTAATTTTCCCCTCTTATTTCTTCTCGGGAGCACAGTTGAGTCAACACTTAAAATTCCTGTGTTTTGTCAGTAAGGAAATGTGACCAGGAATAGACACTCTTTCTGTGAAGCAGCAGCTGGTTCCTTCTCTGGTTCCCAGGGCATGGCTTCTCCAGAGGAGCAGTGGTGATGGAACCCAGGACCGAAGAGCTTCCGTGGACAAGATACGTGGAGCTGAGGGCTTCTCTTCTGCCAAAGCTGCAGCCTTGGTGGAATCCTCTTGCCAGTCCTTTGCCTCCTGCCCACCTCAGCTGGCCTTGGGCTGCTGGTCCCCCCATTCCCAGGGCCTGGGTTCTTACCTTGCCTGCCCTTCGAAGTGAGCACACAGCTCCTGCCCCAAGCTAATCTGTTCTTGGTGAGCCGTACCTGGGTTGAGGACAGGATCAAGTTTGCCTCCCAACCCCCATGCTATTTTCCAAAACAGGGACAAGTGACTTGAAGGATACTGGATTATTCTTAAAGTATCTTAGAAAGGAAGAGGGATCACCTCTTATACCACTGTCCCCTTTGCAGTCTTTCCTTCTCTTTCCTTTGGTAGGAAAGTCATGACTGCCCCTGAGCTAGAAAAGTAGGGAGTGACGAGGGAGCTGAAAGCTCTTGTAGGCTCAGCTCCGACAGGCACCGGCGGTCCAGAGTCGTCCTTCTAGGTCTTCAAAAGCCTCAGTAAGTTCAGCCCCAAAGCACACCCGTATCGGGTTTGGGGGCACTTCTCCCTAGAAACGCACCTCTGTTTTCTTTGTGGACGGTAGCATACATAGTCCCATCAGAAAATGGCAGAGACCTTTCACGGCCTGCAGACTGGTGTGGATGACAGCACCACAGCACAGGATGCTCGAGCGTGGCCATCGTTCTCCTGTTAGGATAGTAAGGAGTTGCATGAGGCTTTCTCATCATGTCATGGGTTGAGTCTGTCTATGGCTGCGTGGTCCGGCAGACGGTTTTTAGATTGCATGTAAACTGGTAGCAGGAATGTTTTCAAACAAATGTTTGGGGCCTCTTGTTAATACTCAGAGGCTAACAAAACTGTTCTAACGAGGGAGTATCTACACTGTCAAGTCTTTGCTTAGGAGAGACGGTAGAGATACAACCACCTGTCTGCAATTTCCCACATTATGTTCTCAGAAGAGAAAAATGAGCACATTTGAGTTTTTTTTTTTTAGGATTTTTATTTATTTATTGAGAGAGAAAGAGAGAGAATCATAGAGAGAGCACATGAGAGGGGGGAGGGTCAGAGGGAGAAGCAGACTCCCTGCCGAGCAGGGAACCTGATGCGGGACTCGATCCCGGGACTCCAGGATCATGACCTGAGCCGAAGGCAGTTGCTTAACCAACTGAGCCACCCAGGCGCCCCATTTGAGCCTTTTTAGATCTGTAGGTATGACAAATACAATTGTTCATTCTGTGCCTATTAAATCTTTAAAAGGAATGTGTTTTTATCCCCGAGGAAATGTTACCAAAATTTAAAAAAGAAAGGAAAGCTAGATGACCTTGGATGTTGTATTGATAATATCTTAGCTGTGACTGGTCAGCGTTCTGTGACATTAATTTCAAAACCACTCTCAAGAAAAATTGAAAATGTTCTGAGGTAAAATTCACATTTTCCTTCTTGGCCCCCTCTCCCATATTTTGCTCATGTGATGGGACAGTATCTGTGTCTGCAGGACAGGATGATCTCCGAACCTATCTTTGAGAGAGCTTAGCCTCTGAGAGACTGACATTTAAGGTGATTTTCTATAGTCTCTCTCTCTCTGGAAAAACTTTGGAGCTGGTAAAAAAAAAAAAAAAAAAAGGTTTCCCTGGGAGAAGGTCACATTTCATCTGTATCATAAATATGTCAGATTAGAAGAGAGTGTCCTAGTGGTAGGCTGTGAATTTAGATCAGATAAAAATTGTGAGTGCATTTATGGGAACTCTTTGTTACTTCTCTAAAATCTAAAGGTTAGAAATTAATGTGTGAGAGCAGTCAGATTTAACCAAAACATTTTAGTAAGATAAACACACCTAAAAAATTATACAGATAACCTTCAAGACCTAGGGAGATAGTATAATGTGAAAATGAGGGACGTTTGCTACATAGAAGGAAATATGTACTTTTTTCTTGAAAAAGAACCCATTTAGGTACTGGGCTAGTTCCTACTGAGTATCCTAAATTCAGAGGTACGTTGAGATGCTATTACCATTTAAAAACACTTCATTTATACTCAGTCTTAAGAAAATGGTTACAAAATACCACAGGCAACCGGTTTAAGAAGTTAAGCTTGACAAGCTAAAAAGAGTCAACATTTGCAGTGAAAAAGAAAAATGCGTTCAAGAAATAAGCTTCGGCTGGGCCTTCCACAATCCTCAAGGCAATGCGGGAGGTGGGACACCTCAGCGAACACACCTTCTGTGTGAGCCCTACCTGTACAAGGTGTGGGGGCTGGGGACGGGGGTCCTGCCCTCGGGCAGTCCTGTGATCTGAAGTCCCGGTGCCATGTGAGGGCTCCTCCAGGGCTCAAGGGATTTTAAGGTTTGCCTTCCATTAGGCAACAAAGCCAGAACTCTTCCAGTGAGTGGTGCACGTCTGAGTTCCCAGCTCTCCGGAACTGGAGCGGCCCTGCTGTCACACTTGCATGGTCTGGCAACAGGGCGTTAGGGCCGAAAGGGCGGGTCCGTGATATGTGCGAGTGACAGGGGCTGGAAGGATCACAGGAGCTGTGTCTAGCGGGGAAGAGGAAGACTAAGAAAGGCCAGAAATGAAGCTACTGGTTTCATTTTAGAGAACTGGCATCGTATAACTTGAATTTAGTGGAATTACATGAACCCCTTTGTGCCCCCCCACCCACCATGGGCCTACCCATAATCCCATAGTCCCAGTAGGAACATGTTCAGTTTTTAGAGATGGTCTCAGATTTAATATGTGAAGCAAACCTGTTATCCTCCCCCCTTTTGTACCACTAGTGATGTGCTTCCTAGAGTCCACCAGCGTGTCTTTCAGGTAAGATGGAGCACATGCATTCTGGACAATTTGTGTGCAGATGTCTAAGTGGGAGGGCTAGTGTTTAAAATCCCAGGGCTGGCGGAATGAAATGGAAACTCATGTGTTTTAAGCATGAACTTTCCCAACCCAGGTAACGGCTCAGCCTTCTGTCACACACTTACCCGGTACAGACATGAGTGTAGATGGAGAAGTGGTAGTATCTTTGTCTTCCGTGCTTTTCCCACTTCTCTGCTTAAAAGGGCCTAAAGGCAAATGGATGGGAAATAATCGCCAAAGGAGAGTATAGGAACCAAACTGGCCTCTAGGTGGTGCTTGAAAGCAGTTTAGGGCAGGCTTGCATCCCGCAGGGTGGGGAGCCCATGGGTTGAGCCTCCGTGACCTGCCATCTCCTGGGCCAAGTCTCCCACACGCTGCCGTCCCATTCTCCAGCCTCGTTGCTTCTAAGGCATTTCTTTTTTTCACCTATTCCTGTGCCTATGAGTTGGTATTCTACTGGTGTGTAGAAATCATCACTGTTGGTCCAAGTCCCCGTCAAACTAGAGGGGGAGAATGCACTGAACCCGAGAGCTTTTGCTCATCCTAGGTCATTTTGCCATGAAGCTTGGAAACATCTGCTTGCTGCTCCCCCAGTTTCCTATCTGCCCAGCCCTGTCTGGTCCAGGTGGAGCAGGCTGGAGCTGCAGGAGCGAGGCTTCTGTGTGCCTGCAAGTGCAATCTTTCCTAAGGGAATGGCTTACCTTTTTTTTTTTTTTTTTTTTTGGTAAAGTTTTTAAAAAGGTATCACAGCTGCTACATTTGATATCAGATACTAATCTTTAATTCCTGTTAAAACATTTGCCATCCATTGACCCCCCCCTTGTCAATCATAATAAAATGTGGGTAGATGCGGGATTCCACATAAATAGCCTATTCACACACACATGCTCACTCGGAAGGAAACCTTAGCATAAAAATGTAAGAATCTGTAAATCCAGTCCTTTTAACATATACTTTTTTTTATTAAATATGTAAAAAGATAAACGCAAGTCAAGTTATTCACATATTCAGAGACAAAAAAACTATTCTACCATGCGACAATAGGGTAATGTAAAATGAATGTGATACATCTGAATAAGACTTTTTCATCTATGATGTCATTACTTATCTCTATTTATAATTAACAATACATATGTTTACATTCCTTTCAGTTTACATTGAATATATAACAAAAGCTTTATGGTGTACTATTTAGTAAAAGTAATCTGAATGCATATCAAACCTTAACAGAATAATGGAAATACTCACCAGGGAAGGGAGGAGTTCTTGGTTCCCTTCTGGAGTTTACTTCTCTCTGCTCAACAAGCTGTTTGTCATTGTCTTTCCTTTTTATGCTTTTCTGCTTAGAAAGAAGACGGGCCCTCTCTGTGCCCCCTGCTTCAATCACTTCCTATCTGACCCGAGCAGGGGAAGTGCTGTCACCAGCCATGGCCGCGGGGCTAACAATGAAGTCTGGCTTTAGAGGGCGGGCGAGCCCACAACAGGATGCTTCTCCGCCCAGATGGGAGGACGACAGGGTACAGCCCTCGGGGAGAGGAGCAGCCCCGGGAAAGGAGGTGGTCTGCACCGAAGCTGGGGTGCAGCCGAAGATGACGGAGAACCCTAGCTGTTCAAGATTCCCCAAAGCATCGGTGATGTCACATGTGACCCAGCACGACGGAAGAGGGGTCAGATGCGGACAGAAGGAGGAACATGGAGCTCTTCGCTAAATCCGTGAATCGCTGGCGCTAAGACTCGGGGATGGAGAATCAGGTATGACCACCGGGGCAATAGGTTTTCATAGCTGACAAGGCTGGGGCTTTGGGGGCGAGACAGAGCGGCTGGTGCCCGTGAGGCTTAGGCAACTTGCGCTGCCATCCCCCCCACCCCCAGGCCGCCCTCCACCTGGCACTGGGTGTTCCTGAGTGGGCCCTGCCGAGGAACCCCCCACAGATCATCCGCGTGGAATTATTCATTGTGCCTCTTTACAAGAGCTATTCTTCCAAAAGGAAGGTCCGTACAGATGGCTGGGAGGGAGCCCACCGCTGAGCACGAGGCCGAGCATAGCACAACAACTCTCCGTGCGCAAGTGCGGGAGGATGTCACTGCCGGGAGCCAGAGAGAGAGGGGTCACCGCCGTGCAGAGCAGGCGCGAGAGAGAAGAAAGGGAAACCGAACACCACCGAATGTCTGTCCAGTTACGCACAGCGTGTTGGAATAACCTCAAAAATACAAGCCATCTTGTTCACCTGTAACTCAAATGCCACTTTGCTGCAAAAGATTTTGAGAAGACTTCTTTTGGTGGAAAGCTCCGATGCTAGAATTGAGAATTAGTATTTCATCAGTTAATAAAGAAATGTCAAAGCTTTAGGATACATATTTCAGAAATTTATTTGAAGCTTTTCAGTTAAGAGGCAAGTGGGGCGGGCACACTTGTTGGTTGTTGTTGCTGCACCTGCTAAGTTAGGTAACCAAGTGAAATGAATGATCCAGGAAGGGATACCATCTGTCAAAGGAATAAAAGAGGCAAAGATTTGGAAAGATACTAAGAAAATGTGCAAATATTAGTTAAAAAAATAAGGAATGCTTTTAATTCATTGATGTTTCCTCTATTTATGAATTGCCACGGTTATCGAAGGTCAATGACAAGGAGGGCCGTAGTATTAACGAGGGGAAATTCCTTATTCCAGAAGGTACGGGGAGTCAGGGATTTTTTTCTGTGCTGTCATTCCAGTGTCAACACCAGACTTCAGAATCAGGAGTCTCCCTTGGAATGATGCTCCTAGTAAGAAGGTCTTCACTTGCAGCGAGCGTGCAGCACGACGCAGAGCCCTGCCCCTCAGGGCCGCACACCCTGAAGTCATTCTGGAGGAGGAGTCCCCTAGTGCGGAGGACAGGCTTTGGGCTGAAAGCCAGAGAGAGGCAGGAGGACCTGCACCGATGCAGACCCCCTCTGGACTGTAGGTAATTGATGACAGCTTGTGGGGATTGTGGCTGCCCACCAAAGAGGACCCTGAGAGAGAGGAGAGCATGAGAACCTGGGTGGGGGGGGGGAGGGGAGGGACAAGCAGGCGAAGGGGAGATGGTGTTGTCCTTGACTGAATGTCTTTCGAAGCTAACTGCAGCTGTCTACCATGCTCAGGGAGAAATACTGCTGGGCCCTGAAGTCCTAGTTTTGATTCCATTTTTTTTTTTCCCTATAAAACAAGTCACTGTCCTTATGGCTTTCATATCAAGTATCTCTTTCCCTTTGTTCCAATTTGACCAAATTTACCTTCAGAGGTTAGACTTGCAAACATCAAAGCACCACGAATGTCTGACATCTAGTGACGCTGGCTGAGAAATGCCAATGTAAATACCATGTATCGAATTACCATTGTTTCACACCAGGATAAAAGGGGGGGGGTTGTTCTGGAAAGAAATGAAGAGAGCAGAATCAATCTCAAGCAGCCAAGTGGTGAAGTAGAAGGGACGCGACCCTGTGATCTCTCAGGTAGGCCGCCCGACGGCCGGCTGCTAATGGGTCTTGGCAGAGGACATGGGAACCGAGCGCGGTGGCTGGCGGATGCAACAGTGCGTTGATGTTAACGGCAGACTGGGAACGACTGGTTTCGGCTGAGCTCGAGGCCACACGTCTCTCCAGCAGAAAAGGTCCCACGCACAGCTGACGGCGCGAGCGGCCAGGACGCTTCAGTACTCTTCCGGCTGCTGGGGCTGCCGGTCGTGGACTTGCTCCTCAGCCTCGGGCTCCTCCGGGTGGCCCTCCTGCAGGACAGGCGGAGAGGTTTCAGCTGGAGCTAGGTACTGGGGGGGAGGCCCCGCAGCGTCCCGCACGGGCCAGGGCGTCCCCGCTCCCACGAGCCCATGCACGGACCCACCTATTAGATGGAGCACCCATCTAACAGTTTTCAATGAGTTTCACTGAGGAGTCAAGGAAGTCAAGAAGGTAAGGTGCCTAGAATATTGTTCGGTTCATAATACCTAGTGTGAGCTGCAATTATTATTTCTTGGTGGGAGAGCTCTTTGAAATATATTCTAGAAGTGAAAAGGTTTTAAAAAGTAACCTTTTCTGTGACAACAGTCGAAAGGAACATCACACTGAAGATCCTAGTTCAAATCTAGTGCTGTCCCTTACCGGCTCGGTGTCCAGAGGCAGATTTAGTAACGGTTAGCTCTCCCCATGCCCAGGACCCCCCCCGCTGATGTGCCAAGGCCCAATATCCTCCCCTCTGCCCCCACTATGCTGTCCTTGGGGGCCCCCCCACTCCTTCATGACTTAACCACATTGGATTTTGGCCTCAGAATGTCCCCCCGGCTCCCCCTCTGCCAACTCATCCCCAGGCCCTCACTGCAGCATCCTACTGCTTTGTGTGCAGGATGAGGGTGGTCCTTGGTGCCCAAAGGTTAGTGCCTCAACTGCGAGTGGCCTTCCTGTGGGAGGAGGGGAGTATTTCTTGTGGGGATAGTATGAGACCGGGAAAGTCATGGGCCTCTTCCAGTAAGTGTTCTCCCTCTTGTCTGGGGGCAGAAAAAGAAATCGAGTGGTCCTGGGAACTCCCCGGCGTCTGTTCTGCCCCACGTTCCCTCCTGCTGCCACTCTCCCTGCCTGCACCCCAGCATCCACTACTCCGCTCGGCTTCACGTCCTGGTTCGGCTTTCGTCGGGTTATGCGCCGCAGTCCTGAGTGGATGCAGGCATGGGTGTGTACGCACACGAGCCCCCTGGCTGGCTACCCAGCTGCCCCTCGAGCCAGGCTCCCACCCCCTCCAAGGGTCTTATCCATCATCCTAACTCTCTACTGCTAGCAGGATGCCTTCCTTTCCTACTGCTCTTTCCTTACTTGGTTAGTGCATGTTAGGGTGCATGGGAGATCTCAGAACTGAGGGTCTGTTCTGACATTTTACAGAAACTCGGGAGTTAACCGTGGGATAATGGGGTTAACCCAGGACTGAAAGTCAAACCCATAGATTCAAACACCCGTGGGCCTGTAACAAGCTGTGGGACCAGGAACCCATGAGATCAGACCTCACCCCCAGTCTCCCTTTCCTCCTTGTCGAGCTAGGGGGCTCTGTGATGTCATCCGCCTGCAGGAACTGTGGACCCCAGACCACTCTTACTAGGCTGAAGAGCAAACCTCCCAGTTTACCAAGGGATTGCTACTGTTAAGGGTGCACGATAAGGCGGGGTGAAGGTCTGCAGGACATATCTGGAATGCTGAGGTGGTTATACTACATATCACAGCCAAGTGCTCCCAGCTCACACCGTGTTGTGCAAGCTCACAAGAAGAAAAATTTTCTTATGCCCCATATAGGAAGGAAGAACTTAAACTTACACATGTAAGTAGGAGGCCAGGCAGAACCTATGCCAGACAAGGCCCTGGAGTACTAAATTCTAGTATTTGCATATCAATCCATCACATCTTTCTGAAGGTTTAGCTGGGAAGCAAGCCTGTTAAGAGTTCCTCATTCTCAAGATAATCCTTCGAAAGAGAAGCAAGCTGGAAGCCCGTATGAAGAAGGCTCTTGCCTATCATAGGAGGAAAATGGAGGCAAAGGAAGGAGGAAGGGTCACCGCGGAGCTCCCATGGCTCCCGACTTCCTAGAAGGAGGTGCCCCCGCTCACACTGTCCCCATTGGGCTCTTCTTTCCTCAGGGCTGTGCTCACCCGGTTTCCTCGGCCTGAACAGTCCTCTCCCTGCCTGAGCCCTGTCACTGCTGTTCTTCCCGGTCATTCTTCAACTCCAACCCAAATGTCCTCTTCTCGGTGAAGTTTTTGCTTGTCACTCCTGGCTGTCTTTCTGTGCTCACCACATGTGTCATACCTGACCTGGTCTCGTTCATGGTCCCTCGCTGAGGCAGTGGCTCTGTCCCCTTTCTGTACACCCAGGGTTCGTCCAATGACAGAAACACAGGCTCTTCCCCAGGGCTCTTGGTTGAGCAGGGAAGAATCTTTAGGTCACTCAACAGTGACTTTTGTGACAGTACCTCAAGAATTAAGTGCCTGTTTATACAAGCAGGCGCACCTCAGCTGACAGATGGACAAGGCAGCAGCTAAGCAATGACTAAGTCCAGATACCTGTGGCCCCGAAGGGAAAAGATCCCGAGAATGATAAAGAGGGGCACAAGACAGCGGTCTGGTGATCTGCTTTGGAAACTTCCATTAGGTTTCTACAACCGTGAACTGAACTGCCCCTGTTTACTTCTGTACGCAAACTCCCATCTGGATTTCTACATCTTCCAAACATTCTATTCTAGGATTGTTTGACTCCAAGAATCAAAGACCAGCCATCACCAAATAAAGCCTTAGACAAGAAGCCTCTCCGGCAAATACGTGCCCCTGAAATGGCAACGTAGGGTGCATCTGTGTTTAACCCAAGAACAGGCACCAGGCGGAATCCCCCAAAGTCACACTCAGAAGGCAGGAGCTCTCTCCCAGGGCCGGCCCTGCCTACCGTGAGCCAGAACTCAGGGGCCTGTGTCAACCCTGAACTTGGAGGTCACCTGAGCAGGCCCCTGCCCAAGGACTCCCTCTCGGGACCAGACCTGGCTTAGGTGGCTGTCGGGAGGATTCTCCTCCCGCCGACAGCACAGGGCTGGGACGCTCTGCCGCTGCTCACTGCCTTCCTCCTGTCAGTGGGCCTGGTCCTTCAGACTCGTGGCACCGTGGAGACCACGCTGGGTTTAGCCTCCAACAAGCTTGTGAGGAGAATAACCGTAACTCACGTAGTACTTGACAGAGTACCAAGCACTCGGGCTGGTGCAGGCACACTAGAAATCCGTCAGTTTCTGCCATCAGATCTGAAAACACTGAGAACTGTATTTAGTGAAGCCATCACTGCCTCTGGGACCCGGACAGGAAGCTTCTCAGCACTTCAAGATCTACAGTCTGAGCCCATGATTAACTGAGAAAGAAGCTTAAAAAAAAAAAAAAACTGTGCTGGGGAGGGGGAATGAAAACTGTGGTGGAGAGTCCTCAAACCATGGGCCGTTTTAGAAAATCTCATCCCTAGGATTTCAAATCTTACAGGGAGTAAACATTTGTCTGGTATTGGGCTGGAATAAGTCATAAAGTAAACTTGCCGGTGACTTGTTCCCGTTCCGTCAAAGTACAAACACATGCAACCCCCCCCCCCCCCCCCCCCCCCCCCCCCGCCCAGAGCCCTGGGAATGGCCCCAGGCCTCCAGGTCCAACAGACTCAGACCTTCTACCAGCTTCAGCCTGGCCTAGGGAAGAGCTGGAAACCCCAGCCCCCTCTTTCCCACCTTCCACAGGCGGGGCTCTCTGGCAGGCTCCCACTCCTGCCTTGCTGCTGGGGCCCCGCACTCCCTGCACAGGCAGATTTGGGGGTACCTGACTTCGTCTCTACCATTTATCCCCCCCTTCCCTTTCTGTCCTTGATTCCCTGCCTTCCTTCACCAGGACAGAATCCACATCCTGGGGTCCCCCCTCCCACCCCCTCTCCCTTACACTCCTGACGAGCAAGCCCTGATAGCCAGGTCCTACCCGTAGAGGAGGCCGCTGCCTTTTTTTTTTTTAATTTTTATTTTTTAAGATTTAAGTAATCTCTATATCCAACATGGGACTTGAACTCATGACCCTGAGATCAAGAGTTGCATGCTCTTCCGACTGAGCCAGCCAGATAGCCCCAGAGGAGCCCTTCTAAAAATATTTTGTTGCATAGTGCTGGTCTGCACTGGCAAGGAGTAACCAAGACAACCAGCGATGAAATAAAAACAGGCAGTTGAGGGGGGCTTATGGGGATGGGAAAAACACCTAGGCGAATTCTTCCTCTAACCATACTGTGATCTGTCATGAAGAATCCTCATACACATTCTTGTTGCTCAGCTGCTCAGAGCCGAAAACCACTTGATATCTGGCTGCATCAACCTGTTTTTCTCAATCAGTCTTCCTACTTTCCCCCCACCCCCATCCACTCATCTCTTCCCAGATTACTTCACGAACGCCCAGCCCACAAGCATGGGTCAGCGAATTGGATGATAATGATACTTACTCCTCTGGGAATAACAAATGCACTGGCTGAGCCCCAATTCTCAGCAGTTGAAGGCGCACTGATCACTGCACCCTGGCCAAGAGCATCGCTTCAGAACGCAGGAGTCAAGGGCTCTCACTTACGTGTTCTTCCGAAGCATAGAGGACTTCCATTAGTCGCTGCACGAGGTCATCATTTTCCTGCCCGTGTTCTTGGCAGAGTAGCTCAATCTCTCTCAGTTTGCCAAAGTAGAAATCTCTCTCCTTTTCCACACCTTCGAGGGCAAGTTTTAATGAATGTACCTGCAAGGGAGTGAGGGTAGAAGGAAAAAAAAAAACCCAAAAAACAGTATAAGAAACACGACCAACTACGCCTGCCTCTAAAGACCCGAAACATGAAACGAGTTGTGCAATGGAGCTCGCGCCTGGGCCACACGTCCGACTTCAACAGCACTCCGGTCATCCCCTCTGCCAGCTGAGTGTTCATAACCACTGTGGGATGGATCGTTCTGCCCGACACGGTTGCATCCGGGCTCCGAGCGAGTTTTCCTCCTCTCCTGCTAACACGGGCCAGAGCACATCCTTCTACCCCGTTCATCCTCTGCAGGGAGGGGGGGGGGGGTGGCAGACGAGAGAGGCCGCCACTGTGCTTACTCTAGATGTATTTTGAGGACCCTCCTTTCTTCAGGGAACCTGCAGGAAGAGCCACCCTTCGTTCTGGATCCCTTCCTAAATGTCCCGAAGCCACCATAGACAAACGCTTTCTACTGAGAAACTGGGTCTCAGCTACAAGGACAACTGGGTGGGACGGAGAGCCCGGCTGCGTGGATTGGTCTTAACTCGTCTGGTTCTGGCTCTGGGGACACTGTAGGGAGTGCAGGGGGAAGAGCACGATACGGAAGCCCCATTCCCTCAGCAAAACAGCCCTTCATTCCCCTTTTCTCCCCTGGAGGCTGGTTCCACAACCTTCGAGGGCTGTGCGGCCTCTCACACTGATGACAGAGATGGTGTGGGGAAGGGGGAAGCACTACCACCTGGGCTGAAGCGACACTGACCTGGCCTCAAATCCCAAATGGGCACAGCAGCTACACACAGGCCCAAACCTTCACCCTGTTCCTGCTGAGAATCCTCCCCCTCCCTTTTTTTTCTAACCCCTGCGCATTTAGATTTATGCAGACAATATACTTTAGGAGGCGAATTACATCTTTCGTGGTCCTCCTCAGGTCAAATCTCTCATTCAGTGTACTGAAATCACCTTAACACAATTTCCAAAAATTACCTTTGGAAAGGGAAATTTTCTTCTCTAATAATGCTGGGCCTTTGTACATGCTATTTATCTGCCTGGAATTACTGATCCATTCGAACACACACCGAGCACATGCAGTGTCCATCCCCTTCCTGCATACCTGGCCTAAGACTCAGGGATAGGGCCCCAGAGAGTTCACCTCGCAGACCCCCTCCCATTGCTGCTCACAAGGCAGCTGAGCCTCATTCACTAGTTTTCACTCTCATTTCTGATGATATGATGGTTGGGTTATTTATTAAAAAAAAAAAAAAAAAGAAGGCATCCAGCAGCCTTAAGTATAGGAAAAAGAAAACTTCCCTTATTCTAGAAATCCTTCCTTGTTTTAAAACCAACCCACCCCCTCCCGAGGCTTGGCCACAGAGTTCCTCAGAAGCCTGTGTTGGTGCCTGTAGACAGATCTGTGGCACTTGAGGTGTCTGGGCCTGCGAGCTCTCCCTGGATGAGGCAAGAAGGGTCTCTGGAAGCATTCAACCCATGGAAACTAGGTTTGCTGCCTCTCGAGAGCACTCTGGTCTGTACAACATACAAAGGGCTGAGGCTTCTGTAGAAATATCCAGCCCAGGTTGGCCCCTCTGGTATTCCAGATGCACCAGGTAATGGATGCGCAGCTAAAAACCATCAGGGGCTGAAGCGTATGAGGATAGATCAACTGGCAAAGGAAAGTCCCCTTTCACAGGCCCACTCATGAAGACCGACACCACGCTGCACCCTCAGGTATCGCTGCAGAAGCCAGAGTGGCGGAGGGGACACTGGGGATGGACCTTCGAGTAAGTCAAGAGGAAGAGACAAGAAGGGCAAGTTCTCCTCTCTCAATTATCCCCCCTCCCTCTCAGCATCCGCATACCGTGGGTCCTCACAGCCCTGCTGCCCAAGCCAACCAATGCCCACTCTCCAGCCCCCAGAGGCCCCTGGGCACAGCGCTGACTCCTCCCAACTGCCTGCTTGCTAACCCACTCTCCACATACAGCCCTCATGATTTTAGTTATGTTGCCTTCTCCCGTTAAGATAGAGCAGGGGTGGGGGGAGAGGGGGAGAGAATCTTAAGCAGGCTCCACGCCCAGAAGGAAGCCCAATGCAGGGCTCTATCTAACAACCCTGAGATCATGACCTGAGCTGAAATCAAGAGTCGGATGCTTTACTGACTGAGCCACCCAGGAGCCCCTCCCCTCTCTTTTGATTCATTTCTATCACTGGAATTGCCTATCACAGTGGTACTTTTATAGTATGTCATGGGAGACCGCCTGAATAGAGGCAGGAGGCCAAGTAAATGAGAATTCTTCAAGTTCATGGCACTCATCGCTTCCTCTATTATGACTAATTCACTCTTCAGCCTAGGCATTTCCCCCCAGCCCTTTCTCGTCCCGGAGTCCTCCGTCCCAGCACAGTCATGCCTCTGTGGCTGCCCACCAGCATCAGCCGGCCACCCCGCAGGCTGCCAGGACAGAAAACGGAGGGAGCGAGAACACAGAAGCACGGCTATGGATCTGGGGTAAGTGCTCAGTGAACAGCTGAATGAACACTCACAATTTAGGGTGTGTGACCTTCCCTCTGCGGGACCAGGTCGGGGGGAGGGAGGCGAACAGACACAACCCTCCTTGATGTGCATGGAGGCAGGCGGGGGAGTGAAGCCCTTTGGAAGTAATAAAGGAATTTTAAGACCATTGGAAAGCTCTTCTCGCTCTTCTCCCTCTCCCCTCTAGAGTGACATTTTTGGATGGCAGGACGTGGGCTGGGTTCCCTGGGGATGGGAGGCTCTTTGCGTAACTAGACAGCTAATGGGAGCACGGAGCCAGCCCCAAGGAGAGGAAGGGGGTCCGGCTGGCTAAGGCGAATGGGAGAGGGGCAGGAAGGATCTTGAGGTTTCTGTGTGGTTACACTTTGGGTTGGAAGGTTGGAAACTTGGGTGTGGTAGAGGGAGACCACGGGGCGGAGAGAGATCGTGACAGAACAAGAGATAATAAAGATATCGAAAGAACTTGGGTTCCTAAGGAGAAAGGGTTATAGTCTAAAGTGTCACAGACCCACGCCTGATTCTCTCTAAGTCTACTCGGATTTGCTCAGAGCCTTGGGCATGTGGCCCACAGCTCATTATGGCTGTCCCATCGACCTTCTGAGAAGAACCTGTTACTGGAAATTCCATATGGGCTCAAACTGAGAATCGGCAGGTAGTTGGAACATTCCACAGTTTCTAAATCAAAGTCCTACCCACTGGATGACTTCAGGTTTCATCGTTTTCATTCAAGTGATCAGAATTGTAAAGAAACACCCTAGCTAAGCAACTGCCTGCTTTTAAACTTGACTCCTGATTGCAAATATACAATTATCTCAAAAACTGTTTCCAGACTCTTGTGGGCTCATCAGGAATCAGATTAATCACCGGGAATGGCCCGGCCACTTGGCTGGGAAGAGCCTAAGAATGGTGAATGAAAGCCCCTCTCCCAGTGGTGGGAGCAGCTGGGACAAAGGGCTCTTCTCAACTCAGGGTCAGGGGGGTGGCTTCTGCAGTGGGCCTCATGCTACCAATCATTTTATTACCTTTAAACTACATATAATCTTAGGCAAAAATACCTATTGTCAGGTAGACAGCATACCTAGTTTTATATTGAAATTGCAATGAGAGCTATATTTAGACAAAAAAGAACATTTTTCAAACACAACTGTGGCCTTTCTGACGCCCCAGTATTGGGTTCGGTGCTCCTGTGACATCAAACTTCTGTGGTGGGAAGTGTTAGGTGTTCACTTTGCTGGCATAATCGTCTACCCCGGATAACTGCTCTAAGTCCTCCAAGGGAAGGGAAGGTCTGAGGTCTCTCTCTCACTACCATTATGTTTTCAGCACTGAGCATGGGGCCTGTCCCATAGAATAGGCTTGACAAATAGCTGCTGACGTAAAGGAAGGAGGAAGAGAGACTAACCCTAACTCCAGTGCTGAATGGTATCTAGACTGGCCAGAAGTGGGCACAGAGGCCGTGGTCTAGCCTGGAGCTTGTGATCGGTCCTGCAGTGTGGGTGGTAGGGCGGGGGTGGGGAGTGAGACGTTGGCCTACGAACCTGCATTTACCTGGGGCTGAGTCCTCTGTCCTTCTGTCTTAATGTATAGCTGTGATTTCTGACTAACATCTTTTTTTTAAATTTTTTACAGATTTTATTTATTTATTTGACAGAGAGAGACATCGAGAGAGGGAACACAAGCAGAGGGAGTGGGGGAGGGAGAAGCAGGCTTCCCGCGGAGCAGGGAGCCCGATGCGGGGCTCGATCCCAGGACCCTGAGATCATGACCTGCACCGAAGGCAGTTGCTTAACCGACTGAGCCACCCTGGCGCCCCCTAACATCTTTTATTCCTAGTGGGCCACTGATTTTATCTGCCTGAACAATTTCTTCAATCCCTACTTGCTTGAAACCATTGTCCCCCTCCAACCTTACCTCAGGCCTATAGACGTTTTCTCCCTCCTCCCACCCCCCTCAGAGACCGGGCCAGGGCTGATGAGTTACCTGTTCATTAAGCTGTATGACCTGTGTTTCTAAATCTTTATCAGATTTGGATGCTGAGCTGCTGGACGAAGCCCTTTTGGCTGATGAGGGACGAGAAGGTGTGGATCCCGGCTTAGATGCTGGACTTGATTTAGCCGCACCTGAAAGTAACCAGAATAGATTATAAATATTGGCAACATTAAGGATGCTTTTTAGATCTATTGCAAATGTATGATATAAAAGGAATTTACTAAAAAGTATATAGAAGGTACCTCCAATGACCTCCTCCGATCACAGAACTAGCATACATACACTTAGAAAAAGTACACACAGGGGCGCCTGGGTGGCTCAGTCGGTTAAGCGTCTGCCTTCTGCTCACGTCATGATCCCAGGGTGCTGGGATGAGCCCCGCATTGGGCTCCCTGCTCAGTGGGGAGCCTGCTTCTCCCTCTGCCTCTCCCCGCCCCGCCCATCTCTCTCTCTCGCTAATAAATAAAATCTTAAAAAAAAAAAAAAAGTGCACACAGTACAATGACAGGGTCCACTTGGGCAACTTATTTAATCTTTCTGAGCACTTTTTTCTCTCAGTATGGATTAAGTTGTCCTTTCTCCCTCTAGAGAGATAAGAACAACATAGAGATTTTAAGATTATTATTTTTTTTTTTTAGAGGAAAGGTTCTTAGATAACCTCGAAGCATCACCATAATTGAGTTTCTAATTAACAAGAAAAAAGAGATTATAAATTAATACTTTAGGAAAAAACATCAGTACAAGGGCATATTTTTTCCTCGTTTCCTAGGTTTAGCCACTGACAGCGCCTGGGAGCAATGACCTCTCCAGAGCAGCGCGTGCTCCTATTACCCACGTCCTGGTTTTGAATTTTCCTCGGCACTGAGAGAGCTTCTTGAGAGGTGACGGATTCCAAGGGAGGGGCAGGGAAGGAACAGGGTGGGACGCCTTGCATCAAGAAGCAAGGATGCGCTTAACGGTCTAACGTGAACAGCATGGACCAGTGTGAATGTGCCTCCGACTCAGCCACACTTGGGGCAGTTTTATGTATCAAAAGAATAATGGCTCTAATGGACTGTAATGCATTGAATAAATAAAAATCTAGTCGATAATGATGAAGGGAGGGAGGGAGGATATGAAGATCTTTATAGAACACGGACTGCTAGCAAATGCATAAGAAATGTTAGTACTGGAAAAATCACAATTTTGTAACAAAGGTAACTGATCCAGGAAAGGCTCACTGACTCTGAAACATTAAGTGAGAAGTTTTGGGGGAACAAGCCATTCACGCATGCCAAGATACTGGCCTAAAATTTACTTACTGTCACGGAAAAAAAGATATGCCTTTACAATGGGGAGGTCTGGGCTCAGCACCTTCCTTAATCAAGTGATTCAACAGCACCACTAATAATGATCGAAACTGGGGGGGGGGGGAGGGAAGGTCACTGATGTCAGGTCAGATCTTGCCCACCAGCTCAGCTCCTAATAGGCACTCACAATCTAGAACACGACACAGACACGGGAAGTGGCCTCTGCAGCCCGAACTATGCAATGAGTGTGCAGTTACACACTTCGTGGATTAAAAAACGCAGGGTCATTACTGGGGGGCCAGCCAGTCTCCACCACGTGGCAGCTCAGCCTGGTGGAGGTGCTCCGCCCAGTCCCCCACCATGCTCCCGCCCCCTCTGCTCCTCCAGAAGGCCCTCGGAGCACAAGGAACCAGCGTCCCTCACCTTGGTGTAACTCCAGTACTTAGCCCCACGCCTGGCTGAGTGTACATTTAGTGAAGGTACAAATGTTGAAATAAACACACGAACAAGCAAATACAACTTGGGTTCTGTGGTTTCCAGTTTCACAGTTTATCAGTGCCGATGGCTCAGAAAGAGGCAGGGGCTAATGAAGCCAAGCGTGCTGACAGTAGTTACAAGTTTCAACCGATCTCCTAATTATAAAGTAGCCAACAGGAAGAGTCCAGGTGCCTGGAGTCCTTGGTTATAAATGCAAAATCAGACACCCCCTCAAGAAGCACTGGCAATATCGTACCCTTTAAAATCTGTTACAAGGGAAAAAGAGAATTTTCTTCTAAAAATTTCTAGGAAAAGGCCTACTATATTTTAAAATGGAAATCAAATTGGGAATTGACTTAAAACAGTTCGAGTACCCGAAGGTAAATCTTCAGTGAGCTGGAAACCTCGCCTATGCAGAAGACCTTCCCAAGGATTCTAGGGAGCTGATGCTTTGCCTCACTCGTGATTCCCATACGGTTGCAAGGATCCTTTACCTCCGCAGAAGCACACAGAAAACACTCCTGGAGCATCACTTCTCTGTCCCACTGGCCAGGCTCTCTAAAGGCCATGCCAACAGGGTAGAGAAAACAACATGAGTAAGAGCAGAGGAGGCAGGGGGAGGACATGCTGACTTGGCAAGGACCAGCCAGCCTTGCTGGGGAAAAAGCTTCTGGAAAATCAAGTTACTTCAGGCCTTTTTATAAGCAGTGTATCATGTTTTAATACCAATAAAGTCTAACCGAAAGCAGCTTCAAGACGATGTTCAACCCCTCTTCTTTACTAAATACATGCTTATCCAGGACCTACCATGAACCACGTCATACAGGAGACCCCTGCTCTTTGGGAGCTCACGGGGTCTCATGGAGTGACGGGGGTGTCAGAACGCCCAGGCCTGGCCACACTCAACTTTCTCAGGGACGAGGCAGTGTTCCTGATTACATGACCACAGAGCAGGATTCGGGCTGGAACCCTCTGCCGGAAGCACTCCTCTTCCCCTCCTTTGAGTGACTAAGCCCCATCCTGCAGGTCTCAGCTTGGACGCTGCCGCTCTGGGAGGCCACAGCACCCGTCCACGGCAACGGTATGGCCCTCTCGTTATGCCTCTTCTCCCATGAGACTTAGACGCGGCAAGGTAAGGGTTGCATCTGTTTTGTTTACCATTTTATGTTCCCAAGCCCAGTCTCCATGACTGACTGAGAGGCGACACTCAAGTTTTTATAACACATTAAAACAACTCCTAGGAGAGGAAGCCATCCAAGGTAAACCTACCAGGCAAAGCTCGAGGAGCTGACGCCAATGTCAAAGTTGCTGACAGCAAGCGCCGGCCACACGTGAAGGAAACCAAACAAAAACATCACCGGCCTCCCACAAGGCGAGCTCTTACTTGGTTTCAAGATTACCTTCGGTTATCGCTGGGGATCAGGACAAAGTAGGGACATTCAGTCAGTAAGCGTTTAGCTCTGAGCAGGGAGGCACAAGCTAGTTTGTGCCGGGCCAAGTGTCCGCCACATTTGCCATCTCTCCCAGAGGAACAGCCCTGCCGGACCGTGCCTGACCCACGCTGCCGGAGGGGCTCCCCCAGACCGTGCCTGACCCACGCTGGGTCCTTCTCCCCAAGCATGTCAGCAGCCACGATGGGGCTGGTGCAGGAGCTGACAGATGTTCATCACTCATTCCCGTACCCTGCCTTACCCAGTCTCATGTAAATTTTAAAAGACAAACATGGAAGGAGCAGAAGCTGAATGCTTGTAAAACAAAGCTATTAAGGACTGTTATTTCTAGGACATCATCAAAGGCAGCTTGAAGAAAACCTGAAATGTTGGATATGAAGTCAAAGAGGAAGGGTCACGGGCAAGCCAAAGCCTCCCGCAAGACCACGTTACCAGGGCAGAGAACTATAAATAAGCAGGGAAAGCTGGCTGGCAGAGGAACGGGGGGGGGGGGGGGGGGCAGGAGACACCGCAACGCTCCCCAGGGGCCAGGCCTCCCGGGGGACAGGCCGGGGCGGCTGCAGTGACAGATGCTGTCCCAGGTGCAGCTTCTTCCTGAGGAACCACATCGGTTGCTCTAGCCAGAGCTACCTTCAACTTGGATCAGGGTCTTGGCCTTAAAAGGCCACCTGTGTTTCATGGATCCTGTCTAGGTTGTTTGGGGCACGGAGTCCCCGTCTTTCACCTGGTACACGTGCAGGCTGCTGGTGGATCTCTCGGAGAGAACGATGAAAACAACGAAAATCAGACTTGGCATCCTCTGTACTGCAGGACAGGGGCAGGGAGGGTGGAGAAGCAGGTGTGGGGTCCACACTCCAGCACTGTACTTGCTACATACGGGATGGAAGAATCATTTCCACCCCGCCCTGCATGGTCGCTCACAGGCTGGAAAAAGGCACGGAAAATGAATTTGAACAATTTAATTACAGATGAAGTAATTAGTATTTGAAATTTAAAATCAGGGGTTTTGAAGTTCTCATTTAGTCGTTTGGAAAGAAAGTGATCACAGAGGGAATGAAATGTCTGCTGACGGAGGGCATGAGCAGCAGGGCCCGCCACCTGGGCATTCACAGACCACCGAAGGCACGACGAAATTAAAGAACAGGAAAGACGCGTGGAAGATCTAGTGTCTTCAGAAGTTTCAAGTTTTAAAAAAACCCCACACAATTAAAGGGTTAAAGTAAAAGCTCATTTTTCAAAAGAATGTCAAGTGAGCTCTTCAAATCCTCACAAGCTGCCATTTGATATGGAAGTAATTTACCCCTCACGGCTATCACAGTGAGAAATACCAAATAGTGAAACTTACAAAAATGAAAATGACGCCCTTCATTCATTCTGTTTAAGGATTTCATGGTTTACTTTTTAGAAGAGTAAACAGTATCCTAAAGTAGATCCCACTCATTAGACTGCTAAGAACTGTGTTTTTGTTTATTCACTTTAAAAGTCTCGCTGCCTCTTTTCAAACAACCGTACTCTGAAGTGTACCCAGCTTCTGGGGTGCTGGGCCTTCTTCCGTTTACCTGGGCCACTAGAATAAGGATGTGCTGAGAAAATTATAATTATCAATGTCAGGAAATTTAACATTGATATATCACTTTTATGTAAGCTACCATTTATATTCTAGTTTTGTGAAATGACCCAATAATGTCTTTGGTAGCATCTAATCCTGGCTTGAGAGATTAGGGTCCTCAGTAACTGCTTTCCTGCTGCCCGGAATGCATCCAAGTTCACGGGGACTTCGCTTCTGTGCCTTCCCATGCCTCTTTGCTCAATGATGCTTCCATGAAAAACATTTACATAATGGCTTTTAAAGGGAGGGCAGCACTTCAGCTATAATGCAGATACAGACTTTTTTTTCCTTGCAGCTATCAACCATTCCAAAAATTTTTTGCAAGCTGCATTTGATGTCCTGAAAACATAATTAGTGGTAGCCCTGTTTTACAAGAATTGTTTTTCCCTCAAGCTTTTCTCTCTCTCCCTAATTTCCCCCTTCAAAATAAAAAGGAGTTTCAGAAGCAGAGGAAAATAGACGTAAATTCTGTACAAGTCCCTGTAATTCTCTGACTTTACTCAGTGGATATGGACATGATTTACAATGCTAGTCTTTGAGCAGTTGTGTCTTAATTAATGCCTTTAGGATTTGGTGTATAAATATGATTCTAAGACATTTTAATCATAGTTGTAAAAAAAAACAACACAAAGAGTGGCCTTATTCATTGCCTTAGCGAAGCCACAGTATCATTGTGTCTAATGTCAATAATTAGTAGCTTAATGTTTATGGAAAATGCTATATTTTGGGCATATGAGGCCCAATGAATTCATAATGCTAAAGCAAAGAAAAGTACTTTACTTGGCTTTATCTCTCATGGCCGGGGCTCTGATGGAATTTAAAAATTCTTCTCACTTAATCTGCCGTATTCCTTCTGCCAAAGTCATAAACAGAGGAGCTAAAAATATGACATTAATACTGTTGACGAGAACCACAGAGACATTAAAAACATGTGCACACGCACGTGCATGGGCACACCACACACACTCAGGAAGCAGCCAGCCTTCTGGTCATCCCCAGCTTCTTCTCTACTTTGAGAGCATATTCCACCCCCGGGTCCTTCTCATTCAATTAAA